TATCCTCCAACTTCTTAGTGGTTTTCTCCACTGCTACCTCTTGTTCTTCACCAGCAGTCTGGTTTAAACTGATCCCTGGCTTCTGCGACACTAGAGATTGGAAGGTTACAACTTCTCCTTTCGCATTGGTCAACTTGATAGTGCGGCTAGCGCAATCAATCACTCCTCTGTGCCTTGTCAGCCAATCCATTCCCAGAATAACATCTAGATCCTTGGATTCGAGAAGAATGAGGTTGGCTGGAAAAATCAACCCTTGAATTTCAACTATCACAGATGGGCAGTGGTGAGTTGTGGTCATGCCACCTCCAGGAGTATGAACTCGCATTGGTATCTTAAGCTTCACTAAAGATAACCCATGTGCACCAGCAAAACGCTTGGAAATGAAGGAATGAGTTGCACCAGAATCAAACAATATTACTGCCGGTGTCGAGTTGACGGGGAATGTGCCCAATATAACCTCTGGTGTTGACTGCGCCTCCTCTACAGATGCATGATTGACACGGGCCTGAACGAACTTGGGTCCAGCACGTCTTGGCTTCGGGCACTTACCAACCGTGTGTCCGGATTTGTTACAATTGAAGCAGAGTTCGGGCTTTTCTCCAAACTTCTTGGGCTGTTCTGGCTGAGCTGGCAGAGCTGGCTGAGTTGACAGAGCTGCATTCATTTGTGGACTTGGAGTAGGGTTGAGGCTGTGCTGCTCACTATTTCTGTGACTGCCACTGCTGTTGTTCTTGTTGAAATTACCCGGGTGGTAGGGACGATGTTGCCGGATAATCATGGTGGAAGGTCCACCCTGATGTCCCTCCGTGAGGCGAGGCTTCTGATTTTTCCCTAGGGGAGCCCTAAACTGAGCTGCCTTCCTTTTGCGGTTCAATTTGTTACACTGCTCCTCCTGATGGATAGCCTTGTCCACCAGCTTCTCAAAGTCCTCATAATCTCTGGAGATCAACTGGTTGGTCAATTCATCATCAAGACCAGACAAAAACTTCTCCTGCCTCTCGGCATCGGTGCGCACGTCCTCAGGAGCGTAGCGCGCGAGGCGGTTGAATTCGTGTAGATACTCTATAACTGTCCTAGTTCCTTGCTGCAAACACCTGAACTCTCTCTTCTTTTGTGCCACAATTCCCTCGGGAACCTGTGCCTTATTGAAACTCTGACAAAACTCTGACCAAGTAACCTCTGTCCCAGCTGGACGGGTCACCATGTAGTTGTCCCACCAAACAGAAGCGGGACCTTGCAGCTGGTGTGTAGCAAAAGCAACCTTCTCTTGGTCATTGCATTGCAAAAGGTTCAGCTTCTTCTCAATAGCATGAAGCCAATCGTTGGCCTCGATTCGGTTGGTAGTGCTTGAGAAAGTGGGCGGCTTGACGCGGAGAAATTCTAACAGTTTGGACTGAGGAGGTGGAGGACCAAACTGCAGGTTCTACTGCTGCTGCTGTGCTTGTTGCTGCACCTGCTGCAACACCTGATGATACTGTTGTTGCATCTGTTGCATCATCATTGTCATCATCTGAGTCTGATTGTCCAACACCTAAGTAATTGTTGGGTTCTCGGGCGGTGGAGATAGACTGTTGTCAGATGCATCACTGGCACGTGCTCCACTAATTTGCTCTTTGCTGCCACTGGCGTTGTTGGAGTCACGGGAACCATTCCTTGTCTTCACCATCTGAAGGGGGATAAGTAGAAATATGAGAAAAGAGAGAAAAATAGAGGGCTTAGAAACTAATCTTTCTTATAAATTTAAGTACAATTATCTTAATCTTGATTAAAACACTGAAAAAGAGGCACGCAACTCCTAATAAAGGCAACCATACCACTGACACATGATATCGACCGCCGACTAACCCACAAGCAGCAGACCTAAACATGGAAACTAGCAAACAACAAACTAAGAAGACGATAAAGCTAAGGGCGGCGACTCTGAAGCTCGGAGCGGCGCTTGCAATCGAGGGATAGGACTGACATTTAAAGTAGACAAGGGATAAGAACCAATTCATGCTAAATTCCAAATTGAACAAAGCAACAAAAGACTCAAATAAATAACTAAGCATGGCTGATTTTTATGCATAGAACATTTTTGATGAACCTAGACAAAAATACTAATGCAACAGGCTAACCAATAAATTAATGCATAAAATAGATGCATAGAAAATAATGCGCATAAAATTGCCCCATCGAACATAGACACGACCTAATGCATATCACCTGATAGATTCCCGACTGACTGTCGAATAAACTCCAAATAAAATTTTACTAAAACCCTAGACTGAGCTAATTTTAAAGATCCGATCCGAATGAACGACCAAGATTTTTCCCACAAACCAACGAGGCAAAACCCCAAATTTTCCCGAAACAAATCCGGGTGCAAAAATGCATATGCAGATGAAAAAGGGGTTCAGAGGGCTCTTAGGTTTTCCAGTTGGCTTGTCCTACGGTCAAGGTCGGCTCTGATACCAACTTGTCACACCCAGAAATTCACGAACCAGAATTTCTAAGCTGAATGTGCATTAAATCCCTGTCCAGGACCAGCCAGGGTACACAAACGACAATTGTTGACATACAGATCCACGTCTTACAAAAATAGAAAAGATTACAAATGCAGCGGAAAAGATAAAACGAGCTAGACTTGGAAACTTGACTTCTGCAGCGGGGCGACTCCACTCCACAGGCAATCCTTGACGGCAGCGACGAAACCAACTTCGACAAGACAGCTCCCACTAGGAAGTTCTTCAACTCTGGTATGGGGGAAAAGACAGCAAGACTGAGTACTACCCACTGTACTCAGCAAGTCATACCGGAAGAGGAGGTATGATGCAGGATATAACCGAAGGAGGCTAAAGGTTCTTTTCCTAAACCAACATCTAATCATTTTGATACCCAGGTTATCAATGGCATATGGTAAACAATAAATGGCTGAGTAATAGGACCCATCCCATATGACATTGTAAAAGAATACGACATTTAATAGAAATGCGGGACATTTGTAAATTGGGTACAATATGATCAATTGTAATGCATGACTTGCCTTGCTCTCGCACTGATGAGACCACAGCAACGTCTTCGAGAAACCGCGGATCGACGAAACGGCCGAAATCTACACGACAAACAAAGCACACAAGCAAAACATGCTATAAGACTACTGAAACAGGAAACAAAACCATTTTTAATGGATTCTAGGGATTTTTATGAATTTACTGAGACTTGAATGGACTTAAACGGAGCTCGGATGAATTACTTATGAATTTTAGAAGATAAACTATGCTTTTACTAATAAAGAAAAAGTCCTTAATTATTTATTGCGCAATAAATCGCCAGGGCTGACGTCACCCAAGGGGGGGGGGCGGCGCCGGCAAGCAGGGCCCGCATGTCAGTGGCACAAGGGGAGAGGGAGGGGGCGCCGGCTGGTGGCTCAAGGGGAGGGGTGGTCCACCAGCTGGTAGGGCCCACTGGGCAGCGGCACAAGGCGGGAGGGGGAGTGGATGGTGGTTCGGCATGGCTCAAGCCGGCTGACCATGGCAGGGCGGCGGCGGCGGCACGCGGCCTCCGACGACGACCGGCGGACGGCGAGGCGGCGGCGGCCGGCGCGAAGGTGACGACGCACGGCCGGAACGGCGGCGTGGCTCGGCACTCGCGGGAAGGGGAAGGAAAGGATGGGGAGGGAAGGGGTCCTCACCGGCGATGCGAGGGAATCGGGTTCTGGCGGCGGCAGATGGCAACCGAGTGGCGACCGAGGTACGGGCGACACTGGCGAGCGCGACGGCGACGGTTTCACGGCGCGGCGGCGGCTTTAGTGGTGGTGGCGCGCGGCCGGAGGCGGCGGCGCGTGGGAAGAGCGGTACGGCGGTGGCGAACGGAAACCGAGCGGTGGCCGAGGTAGCTCTCACAGCGGCGAAGCTAGCGGCGAGGCGACGGCTCTTGCGACGGCGGCGTAGACAGCGAGTAGTCATGAAATGACCTTGGACGAAGACAGCGAGTAGAGTTTGACAAGACCTACAACTTAATTGTGATGGCTCTTTTTCATTTAATATCGTTCATAGTGCCAAAAGTGTTACAAGTTTTAGAGAGAGGTGAAGTTTAGTCATGAAATGCTTCACAAGTCATATGGTAAGAAACCTACGTGCGTAGTAAGAGGTTCGGGGATCAAAATGTATGTACCATGTGCCTGTAAAATTAGGTGACTTGTGACTTGCGATATGTGCTCTTTACAAGAAGTTAGCCACACGTGAAAATTGATTTTTATGGGCTATTGTTAAGTCAACTTGTAGAAATCTCTACTATTATAAAAATTGAAGATGTTTTTACTAGTATTTTGGTACGTCATCTGTGTATGAATCAATTTTTAAGTTTGTTTGCTTTTGGAAATACATATCCGTATTTGAGTTAGTTTTCATAATCGTTCAATTTTGGTAATATACAAGGAATCATATAGGAATCCTATTTAAAAAAACTCGCATGCTAACTTGAGACAATTGTCGCATGCTAACTTGGGACAATCAGACTCCTAACTGCAGCTCATGATTTTCTAAAAATATATATATCCAAGCGAACTCCCATAGTGAATTTCATCTTAACTAAACCATATAACAATAATAAGATTAAAATAGACTTCATCCGTTACAACGCACGGGCACTTTTTCTAGTCAATAAAAAACTAAAAATTCATATTTTTTTTTCACGAGCAGTTCCTTAATAGCCACATGTGAATTGATTTTCACGGACTACTGTAAAATCCATATGTACAAAACCATTTCTACATAACCTAAATCACAGGCAGTTCGCCCACCCGTATGTGAAAAATCCTTTTTGACGCTTGGAAAAATGATTTTCATAGTAGTTGCAGGACTTGACAAATCTTTCTTCCTTCAATAAAATCTCTTTGCTATCTTAAGAAAAGATCTAAATGCATAAATCATTATCTCAGTTTCAAAATATTTATATGTTAACACAATGGACTGCTGCCACTCTCTTTATAAACTTGATTATATAATAAAGCATGAAGATAACACAAGTGTATTCAAATCAAGCATTACGGCCAAAAGTTATCCTTATTGCACCTGTGAAGGAAAACTCACATAAAAAGCTTTAAGTTTACAAGTCATATTATTGAAAAGGATACAAGAGAGAGACCAAATGCATGCATTAACCCTAATTAAGAAAGGCTGGTTCACTAAAGTTGTCTAAAAGAGGAAGTAATTCCGAGATAGTGGTACTGTGGGTGTTGGTTGACATCTCAAAACCTCTCCATCAGCAGTAACCGTGTAGGTTTCAGGATCGACATCAATTTTCGGAAGTGCATCGTTTAGCTTCATATTCAGCTTTGTCAAACCACGAACGCGACCTACAGCTTCCACCCTCTTTCCCAGCTTGTACTGCACTGCAACGCCAGCTTCTTTAGCAGCCTGCCATTAATTGTTGAACTGAGAAATCAGTAGATGTCGTTGGTCAATGACAGATATCAATATCGGAAAGATAAATCCAGGTTGTATTCGGTGAGACGGTGAGTCCATTGATATCTATAACACATGTCCAACACTGTGGAGCTAAGCCCTAGGCCCACATGTTAGTGACACACCATGCCATATTTAAAAAGTTTTTAATTTTCCGCTATTGTTTTTATGTACAACGAATTTCTGGGTTGTGCTGGGCAGCTATACAAATGTATACTGATATGTTAGTGAAGCATTATGCCTACTTACAAATTATACATCCATTCTTTTCTAGATGATGTTTAAAACATCAGTAAAATCTGACACAAATTGTGAAATGTTTGATCAATTCTTTTCTAATCATAAATTCATAAAAACTATTAAAATATAACTAAATCAAAGATTTTCTATGACAAATCTACTAATGTCATTTTCACATATCAAAATTTTGATATTTTTGAATTTGTTAGTTGTTTTAGATCATTTCTGTCCTTGAAAAGGTGGGGAGCAATAGTTAGCCCAGGAGGTCAGGATTATCCAAAATTATTGTTAAACCATGTGCACCGAACTGTTATTATGGTATTAATAAACATTTTGAATTTGCCTCATTTTTTATACAAAATTTATACCAACAAAACGTTTAGCGCAACACTGTATTTTTGCATCTTATACTTCTTTTCTTGTTAGTACTTTACTTCCTGTGCATCTATTTTCCAGTAGAACAGACAAAAAAAAAGTCAACTAACCTTGCTCACAAATGCTATAGAGTTGGCACTTCCAGCCCCTCCAAATGCACCAAACATAGGTCGCATCATAACCTGCATCATGAACAGATGAAAAGTAATAATTATGAACTATAAGATTTTCACCTACAGGAGTTTATGCAAAAAGCAAGGGACAAATAGAGAAGCTACGCGGGACTCAATCTACAAGTTACGGTTTCTATGTATATCCATGGGTAGTTTACATTTTATAGGCCCACATAGTTTTGCAAAACAAGTTGAAACTATCACTTGAGATTTAGTGTGAGCATGTAAGGTAGTACATCATACAAGCTCTCATGGAAAATTAATATGTGAATGAATTTTCAAAATATATAAAAGTAGGCTCTGGACAATTAAGTGAGAAAAAAGAGTGCCAATCCAGTAAAAACGAGGAATACAAAAGGCAAGTATATCATGCAAAGTCAGATGCTATTTCAACTTGATTTATGGGTGGGCACACAACTCTTTTGAACTCAAAGAATGGCTAAAATATTGAAAAGCTGCCTCTTGGATACTAAAAGATATGCTGTTTAAGGTTTGAGTGTTATTCAATTTTATCACACTAAATCTATTTGCATGTAGGCCAAATAGATTCTAACAGAACTACATAAGTACAATAAGGGCCTATTTGGCACAGCTCCACCTCCACCTCCACCTTTCTTGGAGCTGGAGCTCAGCCAAACAGTTTCAGCTCCACCTAAAATGGGAGCAGAGCTGAGTAGAGTGCTCTCATAAAATGAACTAGTGAGGTAGAGCTAGGTTTCCACAACTCCACTTCAGACCCAACTCCTGTAGCTAAATTTTGGTGTTGGAGCTCTACCAAACAGGCTCTTAACTATTTCAACTCAACTCATCTCAAGAAGAAGTTCCGTACCGGTTCAGGTGTTGGAATGCTAGCATTTGGATCACCCATATTAGCGCATGCAATAGCACCACCCTTTATAACCATTTCTGGTTTTGCTCCAAAGAAAGAAGGTTTCCAAATAACAAGGTCAGCTAATTTTCCCACCTGAAAAAAAAAAACAAAAAAATTATGAATAGAAAAACTAAAGAGAAGTATGATCAGTTAGCAAGTTTTTCCCTTTCAGTTAAGAAAATCCAGTAGGAAATGTATAGTCAACCAATACTGTTGATGCATCTGTAAGGAATATATATAACTACAAAAGGCATATTTATTGAACTGGAAAAGAACACATCACAATAGATTGTAACCATGTCAACCGTAACCTGTCAAGCAGAAATTACCAGGTGGTACTGTGATGTGTGACTAGTTCCCGCTTTCCAGCATATTTGTATATCTTTATTTAGTTACATTAATTGGTTGGATGCAGGAAAAATAAACAAGTTTCCAGACACTCCACACTGCCCTATAAGACCATCTTCTTGTGGCTTTTACCCTATAATGAAGCACATAGTAAATGGCCCCAACATAGAACATCTCAATAAGTGATGTTTTGACGGTTGACATTAATACATATTTCTGAAAAAGTGTTTAGGTAAAACTGAATTACCTGCACTGCAGAAATTTAGCATCAAGCATATTAAAGAAATAACAGAATCTCACTTTGTTAACTTCAACTTACATCAAAATTATTAAACAAAACATGCATTTTACTGTTCTTTGCTACATGAAACAAAATAATCTAATGTTTCCTGTAACATTCAAAATATGGCATAGGTCCCCAACAGTGGTAGGAAGCAAATATTTGGGATTGCAAGAAGCATACCTCAACAGAGCCAACAAAATCAGAAAAGCCATTCACTATAGCAGGATTTATGGTGTATTTAGCTATGTATCTTCTTATCCGGAAATTGTCATTGTCCTCTGCAGCATCGGGGGAACTGGATATAGGTAATCTACCTCTCTGTCTCTTCATCTTATTTGCAGTTTGCCATGTCCGAGTAATCACCTAAAAATTATGTCCCGAAATAAATGTAGGATTGAAACACATTACTGGTTAGTGAAGCTGATGCCTCAAGGTCTCAAATCAAGAGGAATAAAATAAAAAATCTCCATTAGCCATGTTTATTTTTTTGTTGAGATTGAACAAACTAAAATGAGCTAATCCTGTTTTCGAGTGAGTAAGTTACAAGCTATGACGATGCAGAACTGCATATTTTCAAATTTCCTGGTTGAAGTACAAACGAATCATCATCAATAGTTCAATACTATGCTAAGAAGGTGCTATGAACTGGTTATATGGACATGTCTATCAATGGTGCAAGAGGACTCCTACAGCCAGCTGGAGATAAGCCCCACGTTTTCAGTATTAATTTTGCTGTGCTCGTGATTCCTATTATTATACTTATTTCCTAGTTTACCTCGCACTTACAAGGTACCCTGACATTATTAGGGCAATTGATGAATAATCTCTAAAAATGGATTTTATCAAATCCAAATCAGTCAAGTAGATCTGGGCATAAGGCCTTATGTGTTTTGATCTCTCTTCTTCCTCCTCTGATGCCATATTAGAATGATAAGATGTACTAAAGGGAAGGCACTTCATGAGAAAGATGACACCATATATTCAGGAGATTTCCTTATTTCTTTCTCTTATTGCTTCATCTGAATTATGCAGTGTCAAAACTAGAATTTGGCAATATGAAAAGGGGGTAGCGCACAAGAAGTAAAGTGGATGGGTTATGAGACAAGGGTTTAGACAGGTTCAGGTCTTCTCGATGAGAAGTAATACCCTACTCCTGCTTGGGGATTGTATCCGCTGATTTTAGTATTGATCTGACGATCTGAGTTGTGGTTGTGCCCTCAAAGGGGCACCTGCCCTCCTTATATAGTCGGAGGTGGCAGGTTTACAAGATAGAGGTTTAATTCCTTACTGTTTAAATCTCCATATCTACTTTACAATCTTACCAAACCAAGACTACGGGCCGTTTCCTTGATACACAAGTAAACGTAACACCCGAGTCCTAATTCTTTACATATTCTACTTATATGATCTATCCACTATAACCAGTCAGATAGTCCAGCCGTGTGGGTATACGGTACCCATAATCTCCACATGCATCAACCTTATTTTATATAAATTTATTTTCTTGTTGCTTGATCTGAATTATGCATCAACCCTATTTATAGAAAGAATAGTCCCTCGCAATATGATTTAAAGTAAAAACAGAAACCAAGAGAAAACTTATCTCTAGACCAATTTATTTATTTAGCCACTTTTGATATTATTCGTAATGGGCAAGGGCACTAGACCAAGTTATTTATTTATCCAGTTTGGATCTTATATGTAATGGGTAAGGGCTTTAAAAAACTATACATCTATGTTGCTACCCTGCAGACATATTTTCAGTCCATTAATAGCCAATGGAACACCATGGGAAACAGCAGTTACAGCTGTTAATATGCGATGGCAGGGACCAGCATTAGTAGCAACAATATTTACCTATCAACTTATATATCAGACTGAATGCTAGTTCACCTCTATTCATGAATACATAAGTGTGGAATTTAGAATTTAGCAAATGCCTATCAAGTTTCTTTCTGTCCCAAGCAAAGTTTTCCCTGTTGTACACCTTCTCCCCTATGCTGGTGGTGTCTCCTTTCAATGGTGTTCATAATACAAATGACTCTCTCCATCCAAAAATATAGCAACTTCTAGCTGATAACAACAGTGGTAGTGTTGTTATACTTTGGGTCAGAGGTAGTGTTGTTGTAGTACCATGTATCTGAGGCCTGACATGTACCATCTAGTTTGCACGATACTACATCATTAGCCAATATGGTGGCTATAGTGAACGTAAAATGGACAATTATTATGTGAACTATCTTAATCAAAGTCAAAACAGAGGAAAATATTATGCTACCAAAGAAATTTTTAGATCTGCAATAAATAGCTAGATGTATCAGAAATTCGATACAAGTAGATGATATTACAAGTATCCACAAAACACATAGTGAAAGTCTCTACTATGTCAATCAACTGTGAGTTTTTCATGATGCATGGCATGAGATAACATTGAGCTGTTGACTACTTAGAATGATGGTAACCATAATCTGTCAACAAAGGTGCAAGCTATAGAAACATACATGTCAAAATTTTCACCATGAAATACAAAATTAGGATAAGAATGTAACAGACCTCTCCAATGCGCCCCATAGCCTGCGAATCGGATGATATGATACTGATTGCTCCCATGTCATGCAAGATATCCTCAGCAGCTATTGTTTCAGCTCGAATTCTAGACTCGGCAAATGCTACATCTTCTGGGATATTTCTATCGAGGTGATGGCAGACCATCTGGAGTGGAGCAAGCACAAATTATTGTTATATTTTAAGAAAATAAGCATCGGCAAGATGAGAAGTTTACCAGCATATCAAGGTGCTCATCTACAGTGTTCAAAGTAAATGGCCGAGTTGGATTTGTTGAAGAGGGTAACACATTTTTCACTCCACATACTTTGATAATGTCTGGAGCATGACCACCACCTGCTCCTTCACTGTTTACAAGGCAGTAAATTATAACTTAGTCAGTCCCATTTACAGTATCATAAACGAATATCCACAATATAACAATAGAAGGGTCTGTATAACACAAAAAAGAGATTATCTATATAAAACTGCATTTATGACCAGAAAATATTCAGCTATTTTTTGACAATGTTTAACATTTTGAATTTTTTTCCTGTAGTTTAGAGAGTTGTAACTGTAGGCTGGTGTACACAATCGCATTCCTATGAAAGTTTATCTAGGATATCTAAGTGATTGCATCCACCCTAAACATCTTAAACTTCACCATGCTCATAACCTCGTTGCTTTGACAACAAGGAGTGTGCACAAACGTTAAGGATGGTTATGAAGCCAAGAGAAAGAGAGGAGAAAATAAAATGCCATCTCCACTAAAAAACATATGCGAAACAGGAAAGAGAACAGTTAGTTAGGCACTCGTAAATGCAAGTGACAGGAGTTCTAATAAACGGGGGCAAAGAAGGTAAACAAGCAATCAATTGACATGCATGGCTTGTATTTTAGAAGGTGAACAGCTCTCCCTTAAGTGGAAAATGAAAATTTACTTTAATAAAAAATTACAGTACATAGAAGTTTGCAAGTAAAAATTCTGTGGATTGCATACCTATGATATGTATGTATTGTCCTATCTTTAAATGCGGCAATTGTATGCTCCACACAGCCTGACTCATTTAAGGTGTCTGTGTGGATATTTACCTGTCCAAATTAGATGATAATCACTATTAAGGACACAAGGTAATGCATGACAATATAATACTATAAAATAGTTTACCTGGATATCAAAAGCTTCTGCGACAGATAAACAGTTATCTATCGCAGCTGGGGTGCTTCCCCAATCTTCATGCAACTTCAAGCCCATTGCTCCTGCCTTAATGATCTCAGCCAATCCATCAGGTTTTGTAGTATTTCCCTGCACAATTTCACACAGTAAACAAAAAAACATGAATTACTTTCCATAGTAATGCCAAGATTAGGGTGCATTATGAAATTGGGACAAGCTCCAGACTTCCAGCCTCTTCAAAAACATATTTTGTTTTTTATCTTCCCAATTACACAATAATTGGATAAAGAGTTAAAGACACCGGTGTTTTCTATTAGATATCATAAAATAACTTGGACGAGGTGCCAACTATGAAGGCTTGTGTTCTTAACCTGTACTCCAGCCATAAAATTATTTACATATTTGACCTTTCACAACTAAAAGACCTGATCTAAACCTGCAGATGATTTAGTACATTGGAAAATATTGAATTACCTGTAATTGATGTTAATGAGTCATGACATACTATAAACTTTATACCTTGCCTGTGAATCCCATATTGATTGGTAATTCATCAGTGGACTGTAGCATTAGTTTCATGTGAGATGGTGAAGGGGTGCAAGTTGTGGCACAAGTTCCATGTGCTGGTCCAGTTCCACCTCCCACCAATGTTGTGATGCCTATAAGTAAATGCGGAAGTAACGAAATACTTTAGCAGTCAAACTTCTCATGATTTATAACCAACGAATCCAAATCAAATGGTACAAAAATATATAATTCAACAGGATCCATTTTCTCAAAGTACAAAAATACATGAAAAGGAGTTAATTTTACAAAACCCCATCTTTTGCAATTTTTGCAACAAAACTATAGGATTTTTAGCACAAAGTTAAAAAAACCATAGGTACAACACTAGCGCATCTATTTTACTCCATTTTCCAAAACAATTTTCTCAAATACAAGGGGCACTTCCTCACAAAAAATACAGGGGGTGCCTTGAAAAGAGATTGCAAAATCTGGGGGTTTGTATTATCCTTCCCGCAAAACATCTGGATTTGTCAAAAGTTCTACATGGAAAAAATCTACCTAGTGTGGATGTTTTAAAAAAAGATGTCCTTCCAACAATATATTTGGAAAAAGATAGAACAAAAGTGACGATATGTATGTAATAACCAACCATTAAGTGTTTATGCAGAATGCAAGATATGTGTGAAATAGCTGGTGACAATGTCAGCACCCTCTATTTAGGGATGCAGCCAAATTGTCGAGATAATCCAAAGATATGTAATTGCTTAAGTCTCATATGTAGCAACTAGTAAGGAGCCTAACCACTTGCAATTGCCTCTTCTGCCAACTGAGGGCATATGAAGTGAACATGGCAATCAATTCCACCAGCAGTAACAATCATGCCTTCAGCAGCAATAACTTCAGTATTAACCTGCAATTGCGTATGGCATAAATCTGTTCTTCTGTAAATCACGAGAAACAAATGAAAGAAATAAAGTAGTTACCCCCACAATCATCTCTTCATTAACACCATCCATGTCCATGACATCAGGGTTTCCAGCCTTCCCAATAGCAACGATAAGTCCACCATTTATACCAATGTCAGCTTTGTATATTCCTGTATAGTCAATCACAACAGCATTTGTTACAACTGTGTCCAGGCAATCTGAGGCTGGATACCCTGCCGACTGTCCCATTCCATCACGTAGAACCTTTCCGCCTCCAAATATGCACTCATCACCATAGATGGCATAGTCCTTTTCAATCTCCGCAAAAAGGTCAGTGTCACCAAGTCTAATCTTGTCACCAGTTGTAGGCCCATACATGCTTGCATATTTCTCATGATCAACACTGTAGTCATGTGTGCCATCACCAATAATACCTTCACTGAAACAGAACTTGGAAATGTAAATAACTAGACTGGAATAAATATGGCATGTTAAATTTTTTTTTATTTATTGGCATTAGCAAAGTCAAAAGGAAGCAACCTTGAATCTGGATAATCTTCATGCCCAAAACCATTTGCAATAACCTTTTCCATTACCTCATTAAGCTGAGATCTGTTGACAGCACCATCAGCAATTCCATTTCCACCCCTGATCACTTTACGACCACCAATGCTTACAAGTGTAACCGTTTTTGCATCCCCTGGCTGTAACAGAAAAGATATCATATTCCCGTGGATCATGGAAAGGATGTGCAAAATATTTGTGAGACTAGGTAGGGTCCAAGGATTTGTGCTAAAAGACGAATTAGATTACTCAGCACCTCAAAACGGACAGCTGTGCCAGCTGGTATGTTCAGTCTCATGCCATAAGCTCTTTGTCTATCAAAAACAAGGTATGGATTGGCCTCTATGAAGTGGTAATGACTCCCAATCTGCAGATTACAAAACAAAATGGAAGTTCTGTCATAAGGTGTAGCAACAAAGTAAATAAATTAACAGAAACATGGGAGTTAATCTTACACAAAAAAAAAAAAACTGTGTGAATGCGGAGTCTCGTAATTGAAATTACTCCCTCCATCCCATTTTGATCATCCTCTAAGATTTTTGAGGTCTTCTCAAAATGATCATCATCTAACAAGTATCTTTTAGTTTATTTGTGCAAAGAATAAATGTGCATCACTGAATGTGTTGCATGCAACTAACAAAGGTTAATTTCTATTAGTGCAATGTCATGTAATATTTAAAACAGGAGCAATACACGGAACATGAAGCGATGAAGCACCTTAACCGATGGGGATTAATTTGAGAATGATGAATATTTTGGTGCCCTTGGTCTTGGTGCAATTTTCTTAGGGTATAATCAAACTGGGATGGAGGGAGTATTATACTACAGCTAGGGATACAATTAAACACAACATTTAGTATTCAAAATGCATCCAAAAGAGCATTTGAATCATAGCTACAGCAAAATCAATGTTTTTGAAATGGCCAAATTGGTTGGGGTACTAAGGACAAACTTAGCATCCAGAATTGATAGAGAAGAAAATGGTGAGATAACCTAGGTCCAATAAGAATCGAATCCAGGCCGACAAATCACTCCTGGTAACTCCCTGCTAGCTGAGCTAGCCGCCGTTCTCGCAAAATCAATGTGAAAGGGAGCAAAAATGCAACTTTAGTCTCCAAACAGTCAAGACTATTTATGCATGCTCAAGGAAGGAGATTGAATACGCTAGATAATTAAAATAAGAGCAGATAGCCTTTTGCCTTTATGATGATGTCAGAAAACGATGCAGCGACTGAGAATTGCATTTTTGGCAGTCACCTAACTGCCTAACTCCATCGCTTGTGCCCCACCTAATTTATTATCTAGACCTTGGCTCAGGCCTAGGATTTTAACTGGAAGCATCAAGAATCCAACTTCAAAAAAGAATAAAAATATTTTAATTGGGAAAAATAATTCAAAATTGTGAGCATCTAAGCCCCATTTCAGGTATTGGTTTAGGCGATTGATGACAATTCGATCACCCCAGTTAATAGCATTTGTTGAGTATATAAGAAATTGGTTCTCATGGCACATGTGCAAAGCATCAAGCACAAAGTTATATACTTATATGTGATGTTGAAAGGATTGCACAAAGATCAAGAATACTGTTGACCTCCAAATGTCCAAGTGACCATATGCGCCTTGAGCAACACTCTTGTGAGATTGCTCCAATGAGAACTAGTCTCCAATCCTTTCGAAAAACATTGTCTTTCTTCATTTGCTATGTCTATCACTATTTACATCGATGCACTTTATATTCTGCATTTCATTTCCTAGAATTTCTATTGTAGTGAGAATTGATCAAGGGTAAATTTGGGAGGTTGGATAGTCATACTTAGTAGCCCTACTGTCACATAGGTTTGTTAAAATTATATAATTTATTTTTTGGAAGAGAAAATCAGACTTCGGTTTGTTGCACTAGAAGAAGATTTTCCAGGCCCAGCCTGAGGGTTAAGCAGGCCTGTTCAACTTAACATGGTGCAACAGCTAATAGCTACCTTAAGAACTGATATAAGTAGGAATTTTCATATAGGTAATAGCAATACTGCAATGCTTATAGGCTGCTAGTTCACGATAGTATCATGCTACAGGTGGAAGAAGTGCAAATACAATCAAGATGAGTGGTGATGTTAAACAAACAATAACAATGGGGTTGCAACATGGACAAAAACTCAGTCTCAAGGGAAAAACCTCCCCCGAGGTATTGTGACTAAGAAGCACCGGAAACCAGGGGCCCAGAAAGATCACGAAAGCTGGTCCCCCCCCCCCTAAACGTGCAGCTGCCCCGCCCCTATGGATTGGGCCTTAACCCGTGCTTTAAGGCCCATGCGCCATACCTGAGGGCTCACCCTCCATAGGTCGATTCTTAATCTTAACCTATGTTGTTTGGGAACTAGTGAGTGACCTTTTTTGGTGCGATACCAAGATTTGAACTCTGGTCAGCAGCTTCCCACTAGAAGTCATTTAACACCATGCTACAATCACGTTCGCCTTTGGAAATAATTTAGAAAATCAGTTGCGGGGCTTGTGGCTAAGCTCCATCTTTGGAAATTTAATTAAACAAATATTATCTAACAAACCCTGCCCTAATGGGCTTGATTGAGTCCTTTTGGACTCTTTCCCTTCTTCTTAATATAATGATGTGCAGTTCCTTTTTGACAAAGTTGAAATAAAAGGAAGTATTTTATAGATTTGCACTCTGACCCAAAAAAAATCCACAAGCGCTCACCTGAATAGGTCTGTCTGCCTTGTTAACAACCTTCAGAGTTAAAGCCCTGCGATGAAGATTGAGGACTATGTGACCAGAGCAAAAACGTACTTCGCCAGGAAAGTCGTCCACACCAACCGAAGAAAACTTTTCAAGTGAAGGTACTGCAAATGATGTTATCATTTTAACTCATTACTAACTTATCTTGGGTACCTCAGCAGATTTTTGTTGAACAGGAAGATCACCACAATTTCATAAATTCGTTATTTTAAAAGTACCACAAACAAAACCTTCTGTAAGTGAAACAAGTATGCTGATCAGAATTGACAACCTGGGAGGAAAGAACCATGCAGTGCTAGCTCCAAATTTCCATCATCAGAAGAAATAGGATCATGTACAGTAATTAGTTTTGTTCCATCCATAAATGTTCCTTCAACCTAGAAAAAGTGTAATATGAGGGGCCTGTTCACTTTGATGCCAAAAAAAACCTTACCAAATTTTGGCAGGATTTCTTATATAGCTATCAAAATTTGGCAGCAAATTAAATGTAGCCACTTTTTTGGCAACTTTACCAAAACTTGGTAAGGTTGAAAATGGCATCAAAGTGAACAGGCCCGAGGTATAGGAATGGACGAAAGTGATAATATAGTATGAGCAAAGAAATAACCTGTACAGTTTCTAAAAGGTGTGGAACAGCTGGAAGAACTTGCCTCCTGATAGGCAAGGAAAAGTGGAACTAAATCAATCTTTATGTCAAAAGGGAGACAGGCAATTGATTTTACTGAAAGTGGATAAATTAATAAACCACGAGGACCCTATTTTTTTCATATTACAAGGAAAATGTGAACAATTTTCAGACAGCTTATGCACTTCATTGGAACTTAGCAGGCATTTCACTGGATCCAGCTTTCCAGCAGTGTACATTTCTCATATGAGCTAGACAGTTCCAAAACTGTATTGCACTTGTGGGATAAGGATGGCGCAAGAAATTGATTTTTTTTAATCGGAGGTCAAAAACAGTTATTAAGTCTGTATAGAAACAAACCTTCCCAGCAGTTGTTTTCCTAAGTCCATCAAGTCTGTCACAGTTCTGTCTCCATCACGAACAAACTCAAGAATCTGTGTCCGGAAGCAGAGAAATAATTAATTCCATCATGGTACTTGAAATTGTTAATAAACATAATGTACAAAATGGTCTTCATGCCCAATAAAATAACAGTACTCCCTCCATTGGTATATACATATTTCAAAAGGTCAGCCTTTGTAGATTTTGGCTAATAATTAGTCAAACTACATGTACTTTTAGTTTTATAATATGTTAGTTTTGTAGCTGTTAAGAATGCATTTTATAGAAATCAATGGTTAAAGTTTAATATTGAAGGGCTATTTCTAAGGTAAATATGTCCTATAAAAATCAATGGATGTAATACTTGTTAGTAGGGACTCAAAACACACGTAGCAGAAAGACCGTGAACCCAGAGCAATACTAGCAGCTTACCAGTAACAGAGCATACATACATAGCAGAAAGGGAAATGTCTTTATATTGCTTTCGAAGCCAACTACAAACCATATGCTACTACAATCAGAATAAATAAGAATAGGCATGAAGAAGGAACGCATGAAGCAATGCATGAAGAAGGGATTTTGCAGAGCACATCAACGTCTCTCTCTTGCCATAAGAATAGGCATAGGTAGTGCAAAATGCAGAGGACAAATAAATATGCACACTAAGTCTCCTTCCTCCTCTCGGGCAAGCTTTAGGAACACAAGCGCAGTCGCAATGAATTGGTCGGTGGGGACGAGAGCACCGCCACGTACCTGGGCGGCGATGAGCGCGACGGCCTCCGTGTAGTTGAGGCGGAGCCCCCGTGCGAGGCGCTTCTGGGCCAAAAACCCTGCATTGTGCAGCGCCAGCTTCTCCGCCTCCCTTTGTACCAGCTTCATCCTAGCCGCCGCCGCCGCCAAACCAGATTAGAGAACAGAAAAAACGAAGAGTAATCGAAGAATCGGTAACCCTCGCGGGGAGGGTTAGGTTGATCTCTCTCGTGATGACTGAAAGAGGAGCTGAGGAGGTGAATTCGCTGGTTACCTGTTGCTGTGGTCGCCGATGGGGATTGCGAATTCTGGGGGAGAAATTCGATAAATGTAAGTGGCGTTCGCTGGACGAACGCTGGGAGAAAACTCTTCACGTTTCTGTAATTATATATAGACCCTTACGAACAGTATTTGAAGAGGAAAAATCGCGAATAGGGACCTCGATATAAAAAGTGTTAAGAATAGAGGGTTTTCCGAAAAATGACGCCCACTAAGTCCCTAACCAAACCCTATCCGCCGCCGCCCCCTTCTCCCTCTCGTCTCTCCCTCACCCTCTTCCTCACCATCTCCCGCTCGCGCCACCGCCGCCGCGGGCGCGTCCACCTGCGCCGCCGCGGCCCCGTCCACCTCCGCCGCCGCCGCCTTCCCCTTGCTCCGTCGCCATCGTCGTCCCCGTCGGCTCGCGCCGCGCTTCTGCCTCCGCCTCCGCCTCCCCTTCGCGGCACCGCCACCTCCGCCACCACCACCGCCGTCGCCGTCGCTGAGCAACGCCACTTCCGCCTTTTCGCCTCGCTCCGCCGTCGCCGAGCACCGCCGTCCCCCGCTGCCGTCGCCATCACGGAGCACCGCCGCCGCGTGCGGATCCGACCTCCATGCAGTCGGTGTGAGGGCTTGACCAGGCCGACAGGCCCTCACATCCGCCGCCGCCTCCTCTTACTCCCCCATCTCTGGGCCTCTGGCCGCCATCGCACAATCCGTCTGTGCACGTGAACACGTCTTCACTCTTCTCGGTCTAGCTTCCCCCGCTGCCGCGCCGTCGGGCATCCTCTGGTCGCCGCCGTCTCTTCCTTCCCATGGAGCAGATCCACGGTGCAAGGCGTCCTTCGGCCAATCTGTTGCCTCCCTTCCCCGCAACAGATGTGGAAGGGGCCCTTACTTTCAAAGGTTGAATTTATCGTATGAATACTGAACATCATCATGCAGCTGCTTGGAATACTCAAGAACCTCCTCCATCACAGCAAAAAGGTTGTGACATTTTCTTTGTGCCATTTCTTCAATTAGGTACACATGTTCAGTATTCATAAGATAAATTGTGCATATTGTCTTATGTTGTATGACATTTTCTAACTGTTTAAAATTCTGGTTCGTCTTTGCCAAGTTATCAGGGCTCTATGCTCCTGTAAGCATGTAGTAGTCCTAGAACAAAATGGAAGCAACACTGCCAGTGGCTTATGTGAGCATGTGTTGATTCCTGGATGGCCAGCCTCTTGCTCGAGCTGCTGTAGTCCCAGGCTTTCCAGGGAGGAGATGTTAGCAGCCAAGCTCAAGGAAATCATTATCGCACCGCTTTCTCGAGGTGTCATTCTTTTGCATAGTGATCTTTGTTGGCAGAGAAAAAACATGTTACATGACATTGTTACCGTGTTTACAAAAGGTGAGAGAAGAGGGTTTGAGGAAGAAAAATGAATTATCATTTCTTATTGGTTATAGGTTAGTACAAGAAAACATTTTGGGCAATCTATTGTGGATAATAGTAAAGGGAGAGTTTATCTAACCAACTTACCATTATTATTCAGCAATATAGCATAGCAATAGCTTCAGCTCACTAAATCTGAAATTTTCATTAATCAATTATTTGTCAGCTCGACACCATCAGTGATAGAGCTATAGATGTTAGCAGCTATAGATGCAACATCTGGTGGGATATTCGATAATCTTATTTGACAGTTCAACATCTGGTGAGATACTTGGTAGAGCTATAGATGCAGAAGCTAGAAAACATGGCGGCTTCATGAGAACATTTAGGTAGAGTGTAGCTGTTGCAGAACAATTGCAGGACACTGGCATATGAGATGCTAATATCAACTCAATTTTGGAATTCCCTTCTATTCAGGGGTTGCGTATATAGCACTCTTCTGACTTACATTGTACCCCTTCTTGATAATACTCTAGGAGTTAATTTATTTTCACTGGTTTTACACAGGTATTTCATAGCTGTTCAAAAGTGCCTTGGTCTATACTCAGAGAATGGTCAATATTGCACTAATGTTGACCGATTATGCACATTGTATATCTCACTTAAAAAAGAATATGGTTGGTCATCTGCTGTTAAGGTAAACTACCTCAAACTGTTTTTATTTTTTCTTTGTTCCTTCATGTTAAATTGTTGAGCTCTCCGGGCACACAACAGTATCTTGATATATGTGGTATTTATTTATTCTATATTGCAATACTATTTTGCTGAATCCCAAGTTGTCTATCCATATATATGGTGAGTGGGGCATGCACTGTAGAAGCTGTGGATCTAAAATTGTCTCTAATTGCAACAGCGCATGCCCCTTGATTTCCTGGGAGGAGAGAAATTTCAGGAGGCAGCAGATAATTATGTCAGACCCCTATTAACCAAGGTAAATTCAGCAGCTCTTGGGAGGTACTTTAAGTTTCTATTTAAGGAGTCTCATTTATGGTTACCATTTGTTTTTCTTAGTGTATACCTTATACCCTTTTTCAATTTTTCAGGCAGCATAATGTTTCTCTTTGTTGCAATTGATTAACATGTCTCATATATTAAGTATATATAAATCGAATCTCAGAAAGCCTATGGATAAGATAGCTGAGATTTCTTATAAAATGGTAACTTCCTTTCCTGTTGCCTCTTCCTGTTAATGTACATACTGTGAATGGGAAGCCTATGTTGCCATGCTGATACCAACTACAGGTTTGGAGCCTCAATGTAAAACATGTCTATAGTTTCTTTGGTTTAGATAGTAGACTGATTTCGTGTTGTACAGAAACAATAAACACGGAATAGGCCCATATTATGTCTGCAATCATCTTAATCTGCTAGATGATATTATCAGGTATATTCCTCCCTTCTTGCTGATTTCTTCGTGAAAAACTCCAATAGGGCTGTATTTGAAATCGAACTAAAGTGGTACAGGATAGAGGCTGAACAAGGGAAACTAAATTATAAGGATTCTGATGAGTTGCTTGAATTTTTTCAGAAACGTAGCATTCTGGCTGGTTGTCACTTCTTATTCCGGGAACTAGAAGATGCAGTCCAGTTATGAATTCAATCATTTTCAGTTATGGCTTCGATTCTTAACAAGGTCACCCACCTGATGGCTGCTATTCAAAACCATTTGCAAAGCCTGTTGTCAAGGTAAAGCCGTAAAGGTTAGTTTAAACATGGTAAACAACGAGATGCCTCATGGATCTTTCTACAAGATAGACCGCACATGTTTAGGGAATCACGTAAACTTATCCCTTAGCAGGGTAATGGACGGTCCCAGCTAGGGTTTTTTAGGGCAGGTAGATGCGGCCGCCGCAGCGGAGGTGGACGCGACCACGGCAACGGCAATGACCACGCCAGCGTGAGGCGAATGCGCGGACCAGCGGCGCGTGGCCTCAGTGCTAGGGAAAACAGAGGGTAGGAGAAGGATGATATCAAGAACGGGGCAGCAACGCGTAGGATTGGGAGACGAGGCATTCCTGAGCACCGTCGCTGTGTCAGCAGATCTGTCCGCGCGGATCCATCGTTTTATTTTCCTTAGAGCCACAATACCCATAGCAGCACGGCCAAAATCAGTAGTCAACCCTAATAGATCGCTTCTTTAGCTATCTCTGCAATACCTCTCTTTTCTTTTCTCACTTACAGATCCACCATTCTCGGATCAGAGCTATAGATGAGAACCCTACCTCATAGTCTCTGATGTTAACGCAACTATAGTTTGTTATTCTTCTTTTTCCTCTTTTGTATTCTTGCCTTTTAATTTACGGGTAAATTACAACTTTTGCTTTTTATGGCACAGGATGTAAAACAACTTCTATTCTCGGGCCTTGGAATCGCTGCGCGCACGTCTTTCTCTACCAGGTGATGTACCCATATATCTATATTTTTATATGGAATCAGCTGTACATTTTTTCGGTCCCTTTGTGTTTCCTAGCTAATTTCCTAAATTGTGCATATACAGTTAGATACACTCTTCCTTTCTTTTGAGCTTTCATGGAACCGAGTTTGAGAAGGCTAGAAAGTTATTTGATTTCAAAATGATCCATGCAAACTTCTAATTTTATACCGATGGTACAGCAGTAACAATAATTGATGTGGCCTTGCTCACACACAGAAGCTATATTAGTCCACTATGAAGTACAGTTTATAGCCCTCAGCCTACTTTTAGATCATGTGTTCCATTTTAGGTGGATAGAGTTGCATGGATGCTCATGGATCCATGCAACACTATAGTTTCCACTCCATCAGCATTTGGGAATACCTTCTGCACCTGCACTGCTGGTATTATACCATCACAGTGGTAAATACTAAATGTTGCCATATCTCTTTAGGAATAGAAAACAGTTCCGAATACAAAAAAATTCCATATTTCTTTAAAAGGCAATATTAAATGCTGTATTTATTGTGCACCATTATTTGCTCCTCTTTATTGTGTAATTTTATTCCTACCATTATCATCTTGTTATATTCTTACTATATCTTATTAGAACACTAGAAACCACTCTTTTATCGTCTTATCATATAGCTTACTATCTTACGTTGTACATATTTTGCTTTCACCAAAAACAATTGGTTTTTATATGCACCTACAGTAATACCACCTCTGATTTTAGATCTGTCTCCATTCTAAAAGAGCAAAGCTTTGTTCAACCACTGACATACAAACAACCTATATTCCAGCTTCTCTATGATGGCTCGAACATCTGCTATGCTGAGATTCACCCAGTTAGATGAAGAAGATTTTGTAAGTACACACAAATACCTTCCAAGCCTGCATCAACGTAATATCCTATCTGTTACTGATGGGGGAATTTTTTATAGGCTCTCCCACCTGAGATTGTAGCCAGCTGCAATGGATACCATGGAAAATATTTAACCTTGGTCACACGCCATAACAAACCAGTGAATGTTAGGCTCGAAAAAAGAGGCCAGTCATTCTATATCTGCAAAGGTTGGAAAAAATTTGTTGAGCTTACTGGCTTACGCGTTGGACAATGTATTAGATTCAGTGTTTCTTCTCCATCAACACTTGATCTCCTCATACTTGACAAGCATGGAGTTCCCAAGCTTCCCATGCCTGCTTCATCAGAAGAACACCTCAGGTTCAAAGCAAAAAGGTCTATACACCAAAACAGCAAAGGTATTCGTATCACACAAACACCTTTCATCAGAAATAATATGATTGTAATCTTGAACCAGTTAGCTAGGAACTCATCTATTCCATTAGTTACACCATACTCCGTATCATTTAGGATAACACTTTACTTACTAGCATGCTCCATATTTCTATTTCAGGCCATTCATCCAGTCATGGTCCAGAGTCATCGTCTCCTATCAATCACAGGATCAACAAATCAGGTCAACTCACTATCCATGTCTTTACTTTCAATTACGCTCCTCTTTTAATCCTAACGAAATTTCGGTTCGTGCGAATAACATGACGCCACGCAACAACGCTATCTTTTAATCGTACAGATCAACCTATCATACCACTTCTGCAGTTCTATACCTGTCTATGCATGTATGCTCCGCCTTTGATTCGATCAGATGGCTATCTTTCCATCTGTGTAATGCTCTAGGCACCTTAGCTGATCTTCATCATGTGGATCAATAAACAAATTTGCGTTTATTATAACACCGGTCATCAGCCTATGTTACTGTTCTTACTTTGAACCACACCGCTCCACAACTGATCCACTCGCATTAATTTTGGTCCTATCTTCAGGACCTAAGCACACTACCGCCTAAAATATATTGGGGCAATTGTGTTTCTGCCCTTACTTTACATCTCAATTGTGAT